TCTTGCACTTGAAGTAGGATATTTTTCGGTTTGGACTGAATGGTAGGGTGCATTGTCCATAACAATAATAGAACGAGGATCAAGTCGAGGAAGAATAGACTGAAACCACTCTTTGAAATTATCGCCGTTCATTTCATCGTGGTAGTCAGTGCTATTCTTTTTGGACTCAAAACATAACAGCCCACCCTCGAGGAATCCTTTGTCTGAACCGATGTGTAACACAATCAACCGTTTCCCCTTACCAGTTGGGTTTGATGGACCAGTTGTTAGACCCTTGTTGAATGCGTCGTGTTTAGACCGTACCGTTTTATCTATCCACACCCGGTCTACACAATCACCTGCGTTCAACCACGTTTCATCCAAATAGTAAATCGATCGACCTTCGTTTCGATACTTGCGGATGTCATATAAATATTTGCGGCGCCAAACAATCAAGTCTTCTCTCTCTGTCAAGACACTGCACCTTTTCCTCTTTGTGAACACAAAATCCAATTTTTTTATAATGTTGTACAAAGTAGTACGCTTGAAGTTAGGGAGCGACGGATCTTCATTAACTTCAAACAAAATTTTGTCGATTGTAGGGAGTTCACGCCGCAACCAAATTGAATGGACCTTTCGCCGAAGTCCATTGCGGTCCAAATCATCGATCTTATTGAAAAGCGATGTTTTTGCTCGCTTCGTATTTGGAGAAGTCACAGTGTTCCTCAGCTTATAATCGACGATAGTTTTCATTATTGTATCATAACCTATACCCGTGGCTTTTGACAAATTGTTATACATATCACTGCACGTAATACCTGGAGTTTTCATCATAGTATCTTTGTACATATTAACAATAATACTCTTTTCACGACTGTGTACATACTGCAAAAAATAAATAAATGTTAACACACATCGAAGACGAATCACAATTTTAAATGGTATTTCTTTAGTATGTGAGCACCAGTCTACGTGCTTTATCCATATTATAATTATACACATAAATCGATTTTCACATACTAACAAATATCTTTCAAATATGTGATTATTCAGCATAATTAATCAATAAAAAAAAAAGTTTAACTTACTTTTCCTTTTGGATTTTTTCTTATTGGAGAAATAACTTCGTCTGGTTCAACAAGATTGCGGTTTTCACTGTGCTCACTCATGGTAAAAGAATTGTATATAGAAATTGCGAGGTTAAAAAACGGAGGACGTTGTAATGGAACGAACACAAATTCTACAATGAACAATATTATTTGAAATTCAACGGAAAGCCGCGTACATGCGAACACCTGCCACCAGCTGCGTCGTGCGTAGTCAGCCGAGCTGGTGAGCAAGTGGTTGATTTGGTGGGGAGAAGAATGGGCGTAGTCTGACCGCCGCCTACGAAAACTGGTCGCCGCCGTCTAGGTTTCTTATTTTGAACAGAGTATACGTAATTCATTTTAATACATACCTTATACATTTATTTAAAAATGATAAGACAAGTTAAAAAAAAGGTGGACAAGCGTGGGTGTACTTGCTGTACAGTAGTTGTCAAACATAGATGTGTTATATTTGAATTCAACGATAAATCTTTGCATACAAAACGATTCTGAGTGGAGACGTTTTGTCAGCTTAGCATATTTTTTAATAGTAAACATTTTTTTTTATAAAAATTGAAAATATCTCATGGCTTTCAGGTGAACTTTTCTGTTTCATAAAGGTAGAAAAACTTGTTGGGAACCTACTGTTAAAATGTCTAATGTTAGCTATGGAAAGAAAAACTTTTGTGAATTTATAACTGAAATATAATTAACAAAAATTGAAAATTTGCTCATGGCTATAAATAGCTCATAAAGAGTCAACATTCTTTGAAAATGTTATCATTTATGGAAAATTCTAATATAAATATTTGGTGAAAATTTCAAGGGTCTACAATTTTTCATTTTTGAAGTACATCAAAAAAATAATATCATTTTTTTCAAAAATTGATTTTACGTAAAAGTTACCACTTTTCTTTTGTTTTTCTTGACACTTTAAAAAAATACATGGAATTTTCATTTTTACCTGCCAAAAGTAGGTACCATCCAGATTCAAATTTCTATCAGAAAAGATGCTGATCTCAAAAATAGGAAGAAGATTGAAAATATTGTTTGCAAAGTTATGTAAGAAATGAAATAGATTTCAGGTGACCGGACGGCAAAATATACGTCGTGTGCTCACTCATATTATTTTATATGTATTTTACTGTGACCCGGCAAGGGTCCACCGGTTTTTTGACGGCCGGTCGCGGTGTTCCTCCAAGCGCGGTCGCCGGTTGAAAAATATGCCGGAGCCGGCGAACTGGGCGAACTAACCGGCCGGCGAAAAACGTCAATGTCTGTTTACCACTATCTAACTCTATGTATAAAAAAACCGGACGGCAGACACCGGCCGGCAAAAACCGGTCGTCTGTTCGGACCCTTAACGTTCTTCTTTTCTTCGCTGCTAGTATACCATTTTTTTTATGGTACATTTCCGTTTACTTTTACAACCCATATCTATTTTTCTTTTACCTTTCATTAGTATTTATAGGGAAGTTTATAAAATGCTTTATCAGTCTTGACTGATTTATACTTAGAGTCGAAAGCGTTATCTATAACTGATTATAAATTGGAAATTATAGAGTATTTATAAGAAAAATGGATTTGATTGAACAGAAAGATAAATTAGATGTTATAAATGTAGATGCTCGGATAGTAAAAAAAACTGTCAAGACATGGTTTGTTATTACCCGATACTTTACGAGCCATACTAGTTGGTCCCAGCGGTTCGGGAAAAACAAATATAATGTATAATCTGATCACACATGAAAATGGGTTAAGATTTGAAAATATTTATTTATACTCTAAGACTTCTAATCAGGAAAAATATGTTTTATTAAAAAAAATAATAGATGATATACAAGGTGCTAATTTTTTCATATTTACAAGTGCTGAAAAGGTTATAAAACCAAACTTGACTAAGAAAAATTCTATTATAATTTTTGATGATGTGATATGTGGTCCGCAATCTGTAATCAGAGAATACTTTAGCATTGGCAGACATTCAGGTGCTAGCTCTGTATTTTATTTAGCACAATCATATTCTAAAATACCGAAACAGTTAATAAGAGATACCGCAAACTTTTTAATGATACTGAAACAAGATGATACAAATTTACGACATATATTCAACGATCATTCGTCTGCAGATATGGATTTCTCAGAATTTCTCATTTATGTTGGAATCACTGTGATTATGGTTTTATGGTTATCGACAAAACTCGAGAAATGAATGAAGAGAGATATAGATGAAATGGATTTTCTGATATCATAAACCATTACATAAAGAACCATATAAAAATGTATCCTTAATATTATTTTAATAAAATACTATATATATACCGTAACACAGTTATTATTTTCATAGTGTAACCAGTAGTCATACGATACGGTTAGGTTAGGTTACACTTTTTATTTACAATGAACAAAGAAAAAGCCTTGTTGTTCAACAACAAATTTAATAACATCAAAAAAAAAAATATTAATGGAAATAATGGAAATGAAACGTGGTGTTATAGATTCTGAAAACTATTTCCGTGAAGCATTTAAACCAATAATTGATCCATTGAGTACACGTACAGAAATAAATAGTCAATGTAACTCGCAACAAGCTGATAAAAAAAATATGGAAACCTCGTGCACTAGTGACGAAGATGATGATAAATTAAATTCATCATTTGAACATTTTATAAATAATAAAAGACCAACATTACAACGTTACAATAAATCCTATGGCATGTATTATGATAGAACTAGTGTCTTATACAAAATAGGAGATAACTCAGTGACTTTTAACCATGGTAACTTACAGTTCCTTAATAAATACTATAAATGGACTGAAGGACTATGGTCTTTATTGTGTTAGAAAGTACCAAAAAATTACACTCTAGAATATACAGAATCTTATTATAACATTTTGAAAGCATCACGTGTTTATTTAAAAGCAGATGGAAAACCTAAAACTTCAAGATACTTTAAATGGGTACAAATTGTAAAACCTCTGTATGAACGAATGAAATTTAGGAAAAACAGTTAAACGAAGAAATAGCTAAAATTAAAATCCCACGATTTAACTTAACACCAATTAACAAACATTTATCGAGCTCTAAACGTAGTAATGTGGTTAATAATACAACTGTAACAAATGAACCTTTAATTTTGATCCCGTAGCCAACAGTTCTATGGTTATAGAACCTGAAGCTCAAAATATGTTTAGTTTTACTTCAACATCACAGACTAATAAGTCAGGTTCTGGTTTATATAAAGATGTCTTACCTCAAACCCAATTAGTTTATTATGATGATCCGAATGAACTAGTAACTAGATTAAATCTTTTAACATCATCACAAAGTGCTGGTAATACTGGTGTTAATAATGAAATTATATCTATTTTAGAGGAACTACGTGAGAGAAATATAATAGTATAATGACAACTTTAGAAAATATAGCTAACGAGTTACATCAACCAGCGAGAAAAATATTTCCTAGACGTAGTGTAATAACTCGATTTAAAGATGGTCTTTGGCAATCTGATTTAATTGTTATGCAGACACATGCTAGAAAGAATAATGGTTTTAAGTTCATTTTAATTGTTATTGACACATATACGAAATATCTTTGGTTTGAAGCACTGAAAAATAAAACCGCAAAGGAATGTACAATAGGAATGATAAAAATACTAAAAAAAGAAATCAACGAAAATTATTACAAACAAATGGTACAGAGTTTTATAACAACGAATTTCAAAGTAATATGAAAAAATATAATATTCAACATTATTCAACATACAGTAGTACAAAAGCTGTAATGGCTGAAAGAGTAATTAAGGTCTATTTACACACAGCAGTGACGTGACAGTGCCGTACCCGTTCCGGGATTCTACCGGCCGTGATTTCTATTCACATTGGTCAGTGATTCATCCGTCATTGAGTAGTGTGCATCGTATCTGCCACGATGACTTTGTTTTCGGAAAATGAACTTTTGATGATTGCTTTGATTTTGGACGAAGAGGAGGAAGAAGATGTAGTAAAAAAAAAACGGTTATGGGTTCATCAGGCATGGAAGAAAAGGCCAACAGAAGGGGAATTTTCTACTCTATATAAGGAATTGATGGATGATGGAACAAAGTTTTTTGAATACTTTAGAATGTCGGAAAATTCATTCAACTTACTGTTAAGCAAATTAGAAATTCATCTAAAAAACAAGACACACACACTGGAGAAAAGCTATTACACCAAAAGAACGGCTCGCAGTTTGTTTAAGGTAATTACAGATATAAATATTATTTAATACAATACAAACTGATTTATTTTTAATACACAAAATAAAAATTTAAAGCTTACAACATTAATTTTTATTAAATAACTTTTAAAAATGTTCAATTTTTCACGTTCTTTCAACTCAATATTTTTGAAAATATGCTGTAAAGTCTTGGTTTTGATCACTTAATGAATTAGGGAAAGAAGAAGTTGTTGGAGTAGGATTATTGGCTGCAGGGGAGGACTGTTCAGAGTATGATGAAGTAGAATACGTTGAAATAGGAGATGGCTGCGCAAATTGTTCCTGGTCCATAAACATTTTAAACTCGTAGTTTTGAACGGCAGCAAAAATATCAGATTTAGCGTAATGCCAGTAGCGTGGGGTTAATTTTTTCAAAACTGGAGCTATTCCGGATAAAAAAGCGTCAACAGGATGTTTTGGTTCCAATGGTACCATACTTTCATTTTTTTTTACCAGGTACTCCATAACTGTAGCAGCGGCTGTCTTTGAAGGAGGAGCGTCTGGTACCGAGTATTTTATTTTCTTTCGTGGTGTAGAAAATTGAGAGGAACTTGATTGTTTTAAACTTGGCAAAGGACAACTATTTTGTGACTCTACAATCATAGAATCCTATGATTATCAACTTCTTCTGTGGTACAGTTTCGAGAGTATTCTTCATTTTCGTTAGGTTCATTAACGTCATCATCAACATTAATATATTTATTTGCGACTTTGTCATCAATGTTTAACATTGTGTCCCTCTCATCAAAGAATTTCGTTATAAAACTCAACTGCTGTGCATATTTGTACTGTTTGTACTATTTTCGCCTTTTGACCACTCACAGTTTTATTTTTCTTCACAGATTTTCTGAAGTTGTCTCTTATATTTCCCCACCTACTTTTAGCCGAAGGCCCTGAAATAGACAAAAATATAAAACACATAAAACATTTATTTTCGTATAATTTATTCACTTAACATATAATATTATGTACCTTTCATATATTCTTAAAGCATGTTACAAAATTTAAAATGATAACTATTGCTAAAAAAAAACTCATTATCATATACATAATATTATAATAATAAACAATTAAATATTTATAAAATTAAAATAGTAGTTACACAAATTTGTGAAACCAGTCCATTAGAAAATACTTCTTGTGTATTTTGAGTGAAAATAAATGAAAGGGCGTCAGTCGTTTCCGCCAAAAAACTCGATTTTCGTCTCCGCCAAAACAGTTTGATTTTCATTTCCACCAAATCTATTTCTACCTGTCTGAATTTTAGTTTGAGAACCATTTAGAGTTCCATTTAGACCCCCAAAAAATTGTTCGACTTTATTTTCAGATTTAAGTTTAAAAAATTGGTTTTGAACTAAATTAAGTACATTATAATTAAATTTGTGTTACATTATGTGTAAACATATTATGTCAATGTGTAGTAAATCAATAATTTCAACTATTAATTATTATATTAGAATATAATAATAATT